AAAACAAAAAACCAAACCCCAAAGCTAGCAGAAGACAAGAAATAACCAAGATCAGAGCAGAAATGAAAGATATAGAGATACAAAAAACCCTTCAAAAAATCAATGAGGCTGGGCATGGTAGCTCACGCCACTTGGGAGGCCAAGGTGGGCAGATCACTTGAGGTCAGGAGTTCGATAACAGCCTGGCCAGTAGGGTGAAAGCCCATCTCTACTGAAATGCAAAAATTAGCCAGGCATGATGGTGCATACCTGTAATCCCAGCTACTCGAGAGGCTGAGACACAAGAATCACTTAAGAATCAGACACAAAAATGATAAAGGAGGTATCCCCACTGACCCCACAGAAATGCAGATACCCATCAGGAATACTATAAAACCTCTATGCAAATAGACTAGAAAATCTAGAAGAAAGATAAATTTCTGGACACATACACCCTCCCAAGACTGAACCAGAAAGAAGCTGAATCCTTGAATAGACTAATAACAAGTTCTGAAATTGAGGCAGTAATACATAGCCTACAAACCAAATTAAAAAAAAAAAAAAAAAGCTCAGGACCAGATGGATTTACAGCTGAATTCTACCACAGGTTCAAAACGGAGCTGGTACTGTTTCTACTGAAACTATTCCAAACAATAGAAAAGGAGGGACTTCTTCCTAACTCATTTTATGAGGCCAGCATTATCCTGATATCAAAACCTGGCAGAGTCACAACAAAGAAAGAAAAGTCCAGGCCAATGTCTCTGCTGAACATTGATGCAAAAATCTTCAATAAAATACTGGCAACCAAATCGAGCAGCAAATCAAAAAGCTTATCCACCACCACCAAGTTGGCTTCATCCCCAGGATGCAAGGCTGGTTCAACATATGCAAGTCAATAAACATCATTCGTCACATAAACAGAACTAAACACAAAAAACACATGATTATCTCAATAGACACAGGAAAGGCCTTCGATAAAATTCAACATTGCTTCATGTTAAAAACTCTCAATAAAGAAGGTACTGATGGAACATACCTCAGAATAAGAGCCATTGATGACAAACCCACAGCCATACCGTCCAAAGTAATTTATAGATTCAATGCTATTCTTATTAAACTACCACTGACATTCTTCACAGAATTAGAAAAAACTACTTATGAAACCATAAAAAAGAGCTTGTATAGCCAAGACAATCCCAAGAAAAAAAAACAAAGCTGGAGGCATCACACTACCTGACTTCAAACCATACTACAGTAAACAAAACAGCATGGTACAGGTAAAAAAACAGACATATAGACCAACGGGACAGAAATACGATCTCAGAAATAAGACTACACATCAACCATCTTATATTTGACAAACCGGACAAAAACATGCAATAGGGAAAGGATTCCCTATTTAATAAATGATGCTAGGAAAACTGGTTAGCCATATGCGGAAAATTGAAACTGGACCCCTTCCTTACTTACACTTTATACAAAAATTAACTTAAGGCAGATTAAACACTTAAATGTAAAACCCAAAACTATAAAAACCCTAGAGGAAAATCTAGGCAATACCATTTAGGACATAGGCACAGGTAAAGATTTCATGACAAAAATGTCAACAGAAATTGCAATAAAAGTAAAAATTGACATTTATGTGGCCAACGAACAAATGAAAAAAAGGACCACATCACTGATCATTACAGAAATGCAAATCAAAACGCCAGTGAAATACCATCTCACACCAGTCAGAACGGCCATTATTAAAAAGTCAAGAAACAACAGATGCTGGTGAGGCTGTGGAGAAATAGGAATGCTTTTACACTGTTGGTGGGAATGTAAATTAGTTCAACCATTGTGGAAGACACTGTGACAATTCCTCAGAGATCTAGAACCAGCAATCCCATTTGACCCAGGAATCTCATTACTGGGTATATACTCAAAGGAATATAAAAGGGATACAAATCATTCTATTGTAAAGGTACATGAATGCGGATATTCACTGTAGCACTATTCACAATAGCAAAGACATGGAATCAACCCAAATGCCCACTGATGATAAACTGGATAAAGAAAATGTGGCATATATACACCAAGGAATACTAGGCAGCCATAAAAAGTAACAAGATCATGTCCTTTGCAGGGACATGGATGACAATGGAAGCCATCATCCTCAGCAAACTCACTCAGGAATAGAAAACCGAACACTGCATGTTCTCACTTATAAGTGGGAGCTGAACAGTGAGAACACATGGACACAGAGAGAGGAACAACAAATACTGGGGTCTGTCAGGGAGGTCAGGGGAGGGATAGCATCAGGATAAACAGCTAATCGATGGGGCTTAATACCTAGGTGATGGATTGATAGGTGCAGCAAACCACCATGGCACACGTTTAGTTATGTAACAAACCTGCAAGTCTTGTACACGTACCCCAGAACTTAAAATATTTTAAAATTGTTATTTTTTTCAGAATCTTCTGTTTTCTTTCTATGAATTTATCCATACCTCAATAACCTTGAATTTCCATTATGTTAAAATGGGGCACATGCAAATTTTTCTTTCTACTTTTTCAGCGAGTACCAATAATGTAGCACCAATATACATAAATTGTGAGGATACCCCTGGAGAAAATAATTAGCAAAAGAGCTAACCAAGATTTAGAAATATAAGAAATATTTATGGTCTCAAGAAAAAAATTTTAAAATTGAAACTCCAGGCAAGCTAATTGGAAAAGGCCCAGTTTTTGGTTTATTTACTATTGATCTGTTAGCCTTTGTACTAACAACATTAATTTTATGACTTCATATTTATTAATTTCTCTTTTCCTTTCTGTTTTTTAAATATTGCAGTGAAAAAAGTTCCCAGAGTATCTTAGTAGCATCTCTACATTTC